GAACCCCCTCCAGCGGAAGGCACAGGCCAGCGTCTGCTCAGCTGCCATCTCGGGGCGGGGACACTTGGTGCTGTGGCTCAGGGAAGACAAACCACGAGCTGGAGCAGCTTCTGCCTCAGCACTGGTGGAGAGTTTTACCAGGGTCTGGCAGGGCTCTGCGGCACATGTGGGAGGTGGGTGGGAGGACGGCCCTGGCGGGGAGGACGGCCGCTGCTTCTCAGATCGGGCTAGAAAGTTTGTCTCTGGAATGCCAGGACACAGGTTTCCTCTGGAGCTGCTGAACTGTATTCCTGACTTTGATCAGTGCAGGACGTGTTTGCGAGTGCTCTACTTGGAGCAGCACCTCATTGCCCTCGGCCTGCTGGGGTTGGCGGTGGGGAGATCCTCCTTGTGTCTGCGCTGGACACAGGACCCTGTCTTGGTCTCCCAGCTGGGGCAGGGACTGCCTTCACTGGGGAGAATTCATGGTTCGAGGAAGGGGTCACCCTGCCCGGACGGGAGAGGCTGGCCTCGTTCCTCCGGGCTCATGGCCAAACCTGAACCACTATCCAGAGCATCCTGACCTCACACATCTGGGCTCGCCATGCTGAAGGAACAGTGAGGGCCAGCTGTGAGCTGAACCCCATCTCCTACAGCCCCTGTGGACTGTTCTCCTGGCTGGTGGGAGCCCCAGCCCCTTTCTGCCCCACTCCAGGCCAGGGCAGGTGGATGCTTTCATCCCATTTTATTGGAGTTGGATGGAGAAACACTTAATGCCGATCAATTGGGGATCCCCAATGCTGGAGGAGGCTCCCAGAGCCTTGAGCTGCTTCTGGGTGATCCAGTGGGAGCAGACCCCTGTGTAGGTGCCTGCTGGCTCTCCCCTGGGAACCCTAAGACAAGATCTAACTGTCAGTCTGTCTTGGCAGCAAGGACACCCCTGTGGAGAAGAAGAAGAAAGGCAAGAGGAAAAATGAGATACCAGTGGACAGTTTGGATTTGGATCAGGATCTGCTGAGCCCATCCGCGCAGAGCCCAGAGGAGTCTGCAGAGTCGGCCGACAGCCAGGTATATCTGAAAACTTCAGTTGGGGGAAATCCCACCTCTGAGTAGGAGAAGAGGTGGGCTCCAGGGCACAGTGACCAGAAACGACTTTCAGCAGTGTGGTTGGTGGACCCCAGCCTTGGAGGGGAGCCTGGGGTCCACCAACCACACTGCTAAAAGTTAACTGATGGCCCTGGGTTGGGTGCACACTGCTGCCCTGGGCGCTGCGCATCCCTCAGCCTTGAGTTTCACTCTCCTCCGTGGCTCCTGACAGCTCCCCTTTCCCAGCACAGCGCAGGGAGGCAGGTTGGCCCCAGGGTTGGGGACCTGCACGTATCTCCGCAGGGTTCCTCTCCTTCAGGTCTTGGAGGGATGATGGGGCTGTGTGGGTCAGGCATTGATGGAGACCTCCCACCACCTGCATCCCACTGGTGCAGGGAGTGGGCTGGAGATCAGGCAACTTTGGGCTTTGTCTCCTCCACTCAAGCAAGGAGGAGGTCCTTGGTCTGCCCTTCTCCTCCATGACTGCCTTTTTCATCCTGTACACAGAAACGCCGCTCAGGACGGCAAGTGAAGAGGAGAAAGTACAACGAGGACCTGGATTTCAAAGTGGTGGATGATGACGGCGAGACAATAGCCGTGCTGGGAGCAGGGCGAACCTCCGCGCTCTCTGCCTCAACTCTGGCATGGCAGGCAGAGGTAGGGCTGGATGGGGGACTAGGGTGACGGGGCCTCCTGCCTCTCGCAGGATGTCCATGCTGAGATTCAAGAAAGTGGGGGATCCCAGCACAAGGATGGGGTGAGAGTGTGCCTGTCTGGGAGGGTGCAGGCTGGCTTTGCAGGGACCATGAAGGCACAGAGGGATGGGCAAGAGGCGTGCAGGTCCAACTGTCCCCTTCCTGCTTGGAGACAAAGGCCTCTGGAACACGTCATGTAGCTGGATGTGTCCGTGAAGGTGTGACCCACCCATTGCCCGTGCCCGCCTTTGGTTTCTGTCTCCAGGACGTTAGGCTATTATTTTGGCTCTGCCAGCCAAGGGCTTTGTAGGTGCCAGGTCATTGTTTTCTGCCCATGTTGCTGCTCTCCATCAGTGCCTCGGAGTGTAGAGATGCCCAGCCTGGCACGTGCCAGCCAAGCTGACCTGCCAGGCAGCGTGGTAGGATCTGAGACCAGCCAGTGTCACTGCAGTTTGGGCCTCGCTGCTTGGCCTCTGCCCACTGGTTCAGTGCTGGCTCCTGGTAGGTGCTGGCATCTCCTTCCTTCTGGGCTGCGTGTCGAATCCTGCAGCTCACTCCCTCTCTCTGGTCGCTAACAAAGCTGCCAGATATTAATAATGGTCACAAAAGTCACTAATTGTTTTCACAGTGTTCCCGTGTCCCTCTCTAGTCCCTCTTCCCCAGGCTTTGGTGTGGGTGTTAGTCAGCTCTGTTGCTAACCCAGGAAATAGACCTGGCCTGGTGCTCCCTGCCTGCCCCGGGGGCTGCCGCACGCCCGGGAGGTGCCACCAGTGCTGCTTCGGCTGCTGCGCGGGGCCGTGTCCCAGCCGGGCTCCTGGCACTGCTCTCTCCAAGTGGCGTTTTCGAAACAGCAGGTGGGAATGGGTTGCCTTTGGCACATGGCCGTGCTGCCACCCTGCTCTCCTCTTTGTCCTGGACTTCCACCTCAGTTTGCCCTGCTCCACATGAATTATTAAGGCTGGTGTCTGATGGCAGCGAGGCTCTGCTGAGTGCCCGCTCTGGGCTCCTGCCAGCAGGCTTGGCTGGGCCTGGCCGTGGCTGATCTCAGAGTCGGGACCAACCTGGCAGGGCAAGATGTCCCGTCTTGCTGAGGCCTCAGGGCTGCTCTCCCCATGTCCTCTACTTGCAGATTTCCCCCAGGGCCCTGGCCACGTTCCTCAGCAGCCAGAGAGCTGCACCAGGGTGGTGCAGGGTTCCTCCGGCACTCTGTGGGCTACCAGCGATGAGCCACGGACCCATTTAAGCCATGTGGGCTGCGGGTCAGTGTGGGAGCTCCCAGCCACGGGGCACTGGAGGCG